ACAGCGAAGCCTGAACACATCACAGGCTTATCTTTTTGTGGTTCCTTTTAAAAAAAAAAAGAAAAGAAAAAATATGGCAAGCTTTTGTTCTAGTGGAAGAGTGAAGTTTCCTCTCTAGCTTTGGTAAGGAGATCATGGTCTTCTGCCCACATAAATCTGGGTGGTCAGCAGAGGATCTCACTGAAAATACAAGTATGAAGCACATAATCTACTCAAATTATATGGCTTTCAAGTTATCTAGAAGAGCTTATAAATTAAGTTTGGCAAATATCAGATAGGCAATAACTACTGGCAACAATGCAGGTACATGAAGATGAAGTACAACATAAAGAGGACGAACAGAATGTATGAGGTGGTACAATTGAGCAGCATGAATAAAGGTGACAGAAATGGAATTTAATAAGTTAAATGGGCATGAGTTAGCATGCATAGGAGTAACCCATTACCCTTTCCAACAGTCAGGAATGATGTTCTTTTTTAATTGCAGCTTCATTGCTGAATTGGATGCATCTTTTTGCCCTCCTCAACCATAAAATGTTTAAAACAAGTTTTAAAATATTTAATAATGTAAAATGGAGATAGCAGAGTAATCAACAGAAAACTTCTGACACAAAAGGACTGACTTGATTTTGTTCCTAGAAAGCTTTGCAATGATTGACTCCTGCCAAAGGAGATACTGGCCAACAGTTTCCAAGACATTAAAGTGATCAAGTTTTGGTATACATGCTGATTTTGCACCTGTCTACTTATGTCCATGAAGGAATTGTGTTAGTATGACAGTACCAGAATAGTTGGACAGTGAAGCCTGGCCTGCGTATCAATGACATGAAGTGCTTACATCTAATTTTCGAAAGTGACTTACCACTGTGAAACCTAAACCACCTACGTGCTTTTGAAAATATTCACCATTAATTTACAAGTTAATGTCACGCTAAACAGACTGGGAGTGGATCATATTTGCAGAAGCAGTATGACTTCAAAAAGAGAAATAATAATAATAAAGTTTGCTTCATTATCCCTTTTGAATTTTATTTTGTTTACAAAGCAACTGCCAGCACTGGCATGAGAGCTGTGGGAAATAATCTATCTGACCTACTGCTCTGTCATGCACCTCACACAGTCACAAAAACTGTACTTCTCACTCCAAAAAATGGTTACAAGAAAGGAACTCAAACTACTTCCCCCCACCACCACCCAAAAGCCCCAATGAATCCCTATTGCATTCCTTGGAAATGTGTAAATATTTAACACCAATTTTTGAAGGTGGAATAAGAACCCAAAGACATTAAATTCAGTGCCTTTGAAGGCTTCTCTCATGATGCCACAATTGTTTTAGTGACATGGGTAAAAAATGTCTCTCCTCCTCTAAACAAAATTTCTATCACCTTCCTTATGACAAGTGGTCTTGTGAATGTCCATATAACCACAAAGAATAGAAGTATCATCTGTCTTCTTAAAGATTATTAAATATTTATGTGCCCATGACAGTCATCCAGACACAGTCTTCAGGCTGTGATGAATTCACGACCTCAAACTCTTTCGGTTTTTGGATGCACAAAAGTAATTTGGGGGCTGAGACAGTTCAATGCTTACAAAGATTGCCAAAGATACCTTTGCCTCTCTCCCTGTGGGTGAACCAACTCTTCTTGCAGATGAATCACTTCCCATGCTGAACAGCCCCTGAATTCTTCAGCTACACAGCTGAGATGTTTCCTGGCAAGAGACAGTGAAGTCCCAGGAACTAAGCATGGATGGGTCCTACAGGAAAGGGATTCTCAGCTCTGAGGCCAATGTTGTCTAGCCATCTACCTGCAGCTTTCAGACACCAGTGTTGACCCAGGTGTCTAGCACTGGTAGCCAATATGAGACATATAGAATCAGAAGCTACTTCTAAAAGTGTTAAACCTTCAAGTTTTGCATCAGTCTCTCTGTCTGCAAAATGCAGACACTAGTAATTCACTTCAAAGGGCAAATCTTATGTTTTGCCCCTACTTCCAATCATGCTTATGTGGAAACTCTCTATACTCTGAAACAGGTCTTTAAATGCTCGGACCTGATACAAAAGATGTCCCTCTTAAATTGGATAATTTCCTATGGATTGAGACAGAGAGGAAAAAAAATCCTTGCAAACTCCTTTTGACTCAGAAAAAACTATTCCATTGCTGCAAGTCAAACTCTCCACCTCAGACAACCTATTTCCCAAGTTAAACCCTGAGGAGTTTAGGATTTGCATGCAAAAATTCACTACGTGCTTCATAAATTTGGTTTACAAGAATCATTTTGCTTTATACTTTTTTTTTTTTCTAGATAGCGGTAGTTAGATCTGGACCTCAAGCCAAGCAGCAGATGTTGGGCTTTTCGTGCAGAAGGCCGCTGCCGGAGACCCCGAGGATCCCCTCTTACTATTGAGATGCTGCTTCCATACACTTACAGAGTCTGTTAAGTGAGATGAAACTGCAGTGGATGTTAGATTCATGTAATTTTAGGATAAATCTGTGTGGGTTGACTCCTCACGGTAGAAAAGTCTACTGCATTTTGGAAGTGGAAGGAAGCAAAAGACATTTTTTTGTGGATGGCAAAACACAGCAAGTGCAATATTGGTAACTCACCCATTGGTGTTTATAATGTCTCAGGGACAGAACTCGAATGAGATCCAGAGATTTGACTTCTAAACCTCTGCACTAACTTCTTATGTAATAACGTAATCCTGTAACATACTATTTATGGTTGGCTTAGGCAATCTTATCTAAAAGACTTCATGAGAAAAGTTATGCTGTAATGCATATGGATGTGATAACATCTATCTAGGCTAATCAACAGGCATTTGTACCATTCAAAAGTGCACAGTGAAGACTGAGGCTGTATTAGCTACAGACCTCAGCAGGCTCTCTAAAGGCCACCCCAGCCCCAAAGAAGCCTGCTTCAATAAATTTGTCCCTAGTCAGAACCATGAAGAGGATGTCTGTCAGGTGAAGTTGATGGTTTGCCTCCTTCACATTGGACTGGCATTTCATTGTCTAGACCAAATATTTGTTAGCATGCACCAGGCTCCCTTGCTCTCTTCTGGTGTAAATTAAACACTTCTCTTGATGAGAAAACCTACAAATACTATCAGATAGCCTACACTGCAATCAAGATCATATACGCACATGGGTATGAACCGTGCCAGGTTTGGCTCCCTCAGCTTTCTCTAGTCCTCCAAGAGCACTAGTCAAGAGACTTGAACCGGAGTAACAAATCCCCTTTGTCTTGGCGAACACATGCTGTTCTCCAAAACAGCAAGAACTACAAGCACAGTTAAGCTCAGCCGATGTCATAACAACTCTCAGCACACGTCCCAGCATAAGCAGCATCTCACCAGGAACGCTCCAGTTCATAGGTGTTTATATTCAAGTACCTTCCCCTTACCATTAAGTGGGCACGCAACTAGAAAGCGCCAAAAGACTCAGATCAGAGGAAGAACAAAAACAAAACACAAGCCAACAAAAAAACTGTAATTTACAGCCAGGAATTACGTGGGTGCCAGTGCAGGCTGAAGACCACAGACAGAATACGCTTCACGAGACAAATCTGGCTGAAAGCAGAGCTGTGTTCTGCATGGACTGAAGGCGTTATATGGTACGTGACTGTCTGCGTGAGTCAACCTGCTGCAGCAATCCCTAACAGAGGTGACATGAGTAGTGGATGTTAGCTCTCTGTCAGAGCGGAAGGTCCTGAGTTGCCTAAGAGACAGTATTTACTTTTCAATATTTTCTACTCACCCACTGATGCTCAGAGTTGGCACAAGCTGAGGCTGGGTTAAACTACGACAGCTGGTTAGCAACCATGGCTTTTTGTGAGACCAAAAAGTAGTGCTGTCAATTGTCTCTATTTTTTGCTTTTATCAGTGCTTAAGCTCCTCCCACAAACACTCTCACCTTCCATTTAAAAATTTTCTATGCTTTATAGTTGTGAAGAAACATCTGCAAACACGGCTCTAATATAACCTAGTGGGTCAGAAAACAAGCCAAAGAAAAAGAACCTCACACTTCTTTTTTTCCTAATTAACAAATCATTATTTTTAAGCTGATCTGACAGAGTTTACGGTAACTTGATGCAAGGTTTTTGAATGTCTAAGGTTAGAAGTACTTTAAGGTATCCAACTAGCAAGCTCCCCAAATAAAAATAAGCAAAGCTGTCTCCACAGCTATTCTGGAGAACATTAACTCCTCTCACGCTAACTACATCTCTCATTGCTATAAAACTGGAAAGCAATGAAAGCTTTCAAATGACCCTCTCTCCAAAAGGCCAAGAGGTCCCAGCTAGAACAAACTCTCAAGCCAAGAGATATAATCCTCCCACACTGTGATGTCTGTATTCTGCCTCCACAGTAGATTTACCAGACTTCCAGTTACTCTTACCTTCACTGTAAATAAGGAAATGGACGTTGGACTATCAAAAGCTGCTTATGGACTTTCTCGGAGGCATTACAAATAATCTAAACAAATAAGACTAACACAGAACGTGACTGTGTCATTGCCCTATGTCCTCTTAGTTCTAAATTATCCCCAGCGCTCTTGATCAGAACATAACATGCAAAGAGGAAAATGCAATTTTAATGAAAAAAATCCTCTCCCTCCAAAATCAACACAAATGACCATACAGCATTTCCATCAAGGTCAAGTACTTATAATAGCATCTATGCACTGTGACTTTACAATTATTTAAAGGATCTTTTGCTTGAAATAATGCAAATCTTGGATCTCCCACTTTCACCATCTACAAATGTTGCACAATCAGATTGACACACCGTGGAACTTTCACTCCCCTTCAGCTCTGGTTTGGTCATCCTTCAATTAATATCACGCTTATCATGAACCTACATTAATTTGAAAAAAGGGCTCCCACAGACACCAAAAATAATCTGCAGCACGTTCCATCTTCACAATTGTTACACAAATTACTCCTGCCCCACGTCACATCACAGACGTAAATAAAAGAAAAACAATGGCATTACTTACTAGGAACTCCAGACACCAGCCGTAACGGACGTAATACTCGGAAAGCCCGCAGCGCTTTAACATCAAATCCGGCACCTTTTCCTCCTATTGAATTCCCCCCATCTGCTTTGGTTGCTTGTTCTAAAATTGCACTAAAAAGCCTGCAAAAAGAAAGAGGAAACAATCTGTGGGCAGACAGCAAGGCTTGGGCAAAACAGGAACAGAGATCATCATCATCACATCACCCAAACTATCTCACAGCCCTGTGAAGAGTGTCACGCGTATCAGCCGACACTCACATATGGTGGAGGAGAAACAGGCTCTTCCCGTAGGCAACAGCCTAATGGTGATGTCTATGCCACTTGCAAAACGCTTCTTTCTGGAGCATACATAAATATGACATACTCCACCTTCGGCCTCGTGGCTCCTCGCAGCCAGCTCTGCGCTCCCGCAGCGACCAGCCTACCTGGTGGCACGTGGAGCTGTGCTCCCCGCTCCACGCGCTGGGGCACGCCGGCTGCTTCAAAACGGCCGTTCCGGCAATGCCTTGTGCCGAATTTAAAGGGTCACCAACGGCAGAGCACATGGGTCGGATTTTGAAGGCAGTACCCAGGCCTTCCTTACCACGCTGTCTGGACATACTCAGCGGGAGTTGAGCGCAGCAAGAAACCAAAAATTTTGGGTTTCCCCATTCCTCCTGCCAATACTTTGCTATCTTTATTAACCAAAAATCCACCTTGGGGGGGGGGAAATATCACCATCCACAATGAATCCAATCCTTAATTATCTGTCACCCATTTTACAAGGAATTCAGATTCACCAGGGTCACTGCAGGTAGAACTTGGTGTAAAACACAGAGACCCTTCAAGGTGCAAATTTTTAGATAAGGGAGTACGATCAGATTATGTGCTTGTTTATTCATCTGTAAATCCCCTAATGCATTGGCTAGGGAAAGCGCAAAACTGTAGGAGTCTTATTATTAGAATGTTTTATTATACCCATCTTAATGCTTTATCTTGGCTAGTAGGAGTAGCTACCTTAAGGAGAAAATGTCTCACTCGGAACACATTTGAAAAGGGAGAGCAAGGCAAAAAAGACAATGTTCTGTAAAAGAGCTGAAGGCTCACCCTACATGTTCATATGAACTTGATTTAATAAATTAGCTTTCAGGAAGCAGCTTCCATTTTTGTGGTAAAACATTGGTACCTTTGGGGGAGGGTGGATTCCTCATGAATTTGCTAATGGCATTGCTTTCAGCCTTAAAGTCATCAGCCTGAACGCAGCCAAATTCAGGAGCGGTTAAAAGCTGTTCCAGTCAAAGGGATGTTTGGCACTCTGTAGAAAAAGCTTGTCTGTGAGTGGCCGAGACCCCACGGCCCATAGCATGCCACGGTGGTACCAGAAGCTGCCTGGGATGCCAGAAACAGGCTAATTGGAGTGGCCTGGACTCAGCGCTGACTGATCTCTCCCTCAGAATCTGTAGCGTGCAGCGCATCTGTCAGGATCTCATCGATACACCCTGACTGGCACATTCCACAGAGCCCCCAGACTGCAGATCAAGCGGAGACTGAGCTGCCCGACTGCTTCACGAGGAGCTCCGATCCCTGCAGTCCGCAGTTAAAACTCCCCGACAGGTTCACAGACACAGGGGGCCTGCCCTGGATAGAAAAAGGAGGATTCATTTACTGAAGCATCTAAGCCAACACATTTCCTCAGCACTAAAGCCACACAAAAATGTGGATTAGGGGAGCGCAAATGCAAAATTAGTTTCTTAAGCAGTTTTGTTTTGTTTTAAATCATATAAAGAGTCTTATAAAACTTGTCAGCTATGACTGAGGAACTCCTAACAGGATCTATTCAAAGCCTCAGCTTCAAGCACTGCAGAAAGATTTAACAACTAGGTAACAAGTGTGGGAAAAACTGTGTGTGGGAAGGTTGGATGCTGAGTTTGTAGGTGTTGCAGACTGAGAAGCAGGATGCAGAAAAGACAAAATCAGAGCCTATAAGAAATACTGCATTGACTACAGATACCACAGAGAGAGATAAACAAGGGCTCGATGCAAATAATATGAATTCTTGGAATGTATGTATTTCTTCAGCTGTGTACACAAATTATACAGTTGCAATTTTCTGCTGGTCTTCATAATAGGAACACTGTAGGTCAAATTTGGCCTAATATATTTCCAGTAAGCTAGTGATTAAGCTCTGGAAACGTGCTCTTTTTCTTATTCTAATGTTTCTATCTTCCTAGTCAACAGAATTCCCATACTAGATGATGAGTGACATACCTATACAACAGTCCCAGTCTCTTGGGATCCTCTGGAGGAAAAAGAATTCACTACAAAAGGTTTCTCATGCTGTTTTTCATCTCTCTTGCAACACTGAAGACAAAAAAATCTCAAGGAAGTCTGAGTCATAAATTGTGCAAAACTGAGGGTCCGTTCTCCCGGTCCCCATCACTGGCCTCATGTTTTACCAAACAACAGCTCTTGGCATCTAGCACCAAGGGCATTTCTCTTGCTACTCACGCAATGAGCAAACCGTGGGTTGATCTAGAAATCTGCATCCTAAGAAAAGCTATATATACAGATCCTAAATTAATTTAGAAAGACCAGAAACACATCCAGTAGGACAGCTCACTCCACTGGGGCTAGAACCTGCCTTCCCAGACTAATGCACCTCCACAGCGGGCCAGTTGGCCCTGTTTGTGTGCTCCAGTGTTGATGTGCTGATCGTGCGGTCTTGAGGTACCCACAGTCATCTGCCTACTGTACTTCAGGAATAATGTGCAGCAATTCCTCCTTCTCCTCATTTAAAACCCTACATTTAAGCTTGAATTGCATTACTCCCGCTAATCCTGCTTTAATGCATTTATGCCATGCTTAATATCTCCCCCCATACTAATCCTGTTTTTTACTAATGCGATACAACTTTTTCTTTCATTTATTTCACTCTCTT